AGTTATAGAGTGGAAGAGTAGTTCAACAACGCCTAAGGGTCGTTTCATTTTGTACCTTAAGGCGAGAAAGTTAGTTTCCAAGGGGTTCATCTATCACTTAGTCCCAGTTAATGACTCTAGTGTTGAGACACCATTTGTTCCAGTTGTGAGTGAGTTTCAAGAGGTCTTTCCAAATAATCTTCCCGGAGTCCCTCCTGAGATAGAATTAGACTTCGGTATAGATATTCTTCGTGATACTCGTCATATCTCTATTCCACCATATAGAATGGCTCCAGTTGAGTTGAAAGAGTTAAAAGAGCAGTTGAAAGACCTTCTTGATAAATGTTTCATTCGACCCAGTGTCTCACCATGGAGTGCTTCGATCTCTTTTGTAAGGAAGAAAGATGGTTCTCTTAGGATGTGTATTGATTATCGTCAATTGAACAAGGTTACCATAACGAATAAGTATCCCCTTCCGAGGATTTATGATCTTTTTGATCAACTTCAGGGTGCCACTTATTTTTCTAAGCTAGGCCTAAGATCATGCTATCATCAATTGAGAGTAAGAGAAAGTGACATCCCTAAGACAACATTCAAGATTCGTTATGATCATTATGAGTTTCTAGTCATGTTATTTGGTTTGACAAATGCTCCTGCAACATTCATGGATCTTATGAAGAGAGTATTTAAGCCTTATCTTGATATGTTTGTTATTGTATTCATTGATGACATTCTAATTTATTCGAGGAATGATGAGGATCATGCTAGTCATCTCAGAGCAGTTCTCCAAACTCTCAAGGATAGAGAGTTGTATGCTAAGTTCTCTAAGTATGAGTTTTGGCGTGAGTCTTTGGCATTCTTAGCCTCATTGTTTCTGGTGATGGGATTCGAGTTGACAATCAAAAGATTGAGGCAGTGCAGAACTAGCCTAAACCTACATCTCCGACTGATATTAGGAGTTTCTTGGGTTTGGATGGTTACTATATGAGGTTTGTTAAGGGGTTTTCATCTATTTCATCCCCATTGACCAAGTTGACTCAGAAGACAACAAAGTTTCAATGGTATGAAACTTGTGAGAAGAGCTTTCAGGAATTGAAAAGTAGGTTGACTACTGCCCCAGTGTTGACCTTACCGGAGGGTACAAAAGGCTTTGTTGTGTATTGTGATGTGTCCAGAGCTGGATTGGGTTGTGTATTGATGTAGAATGGCAAAGTTATAGCTTATGTCTCCAGAGAACTTAAGATTCACGAGAGGAATTATCCAATCCATGATCTAGAGTTGGTTGCTGTAGTATTTGCTTTGAAGATATGGCATCACTATCTTTATGGTGTTCATGTACATGTGTTAACCGATCACAAGAGCCTTCAATATGTATTCAGTCAGAAAATCTCAAACAGAGGAGGTGGTTAGAGTTACTCAAGGATTATGACATGAGTATTCTATACCACCAAGGTAAGGCTAATGTTGTTGCTGATGCTTTAAGCATGTTGTCTATGGGCAGTACTACCTATGTTGAGGAAGAAAAGAAGGAATTAGCCAAGGAAGTGCACAGACTTGCACGATTGGGAGTCCGATTAATGAATTCCAATAAGGAGGAGTGGTAGTGATAAATGGGGTTGAATTTTCTCTAGTGTCCGAAGTGAAAGAGAAACAAGACCAAGACTATGTTTTGCTTGAATTGAAGGCAAATGTTCATAAGCAGAAAGTGATGGCTTTTGCGCAAGGGGGAGATGGTATATTGAGATATCAAGGTAGAGTGTGTGTGCCAAGGGTGGATGAACTTCAAGAGAGGATCATGGAAGAAGCTCATAGCTCCAGATATTCTATCCATCCGGGTTCCACCAAGATGTATCGTGACTTGAGAGAAGTCTTTTGGTAGAATAGTATGAAGAAGTGTATTGCTGAGTTCGTTGCTAAGTGCCCGAATTGTCAACAAGTAAAAGTAGAGCACCATAGGCCCGGTGGTGTGGCACAGAATATAGAGATTCCAGAATGGAACTGGGAGATGATCAATATGGATTTTATTTCTGGGTTGTCGCGTCTCGCAGGAAACATGATTCTATTTTGGTGATTGTAGATCAGATGACTAAATCAACCCACTTTTTATCGGTAAAGACTACCCATTCAGCAGAAGATTATGCCAGATTGTATATTCAAGAGATAGTCAGACTTCATGGAGTTCCAGTGTCCATCATTCCAGATAGAGGTGCACAATTTACTGCCCAATTTTGGAAGTCTTTCCAGAAAGGTTTGGGTTCCAAGGTGAATTCGAGTACTGCTTTTCATCCTCAGACTGATGGTCAAGCAGAGCGTACGATTTAGACTTTAGAGGATATGTTGAGGGCATGTGTGATCAATTTCAAGGGTAATTGGGATGATCACTTATCTTGCATAGAGTTTTCTTATAACAATAGTTATCACTCTAGCATCCAGATGGCTTCTTATGAAGCTCTTTATGGGAGAAGATATAGATCTCCTATTGGATGGTTTAAAGTCGGTCAATCTCGGTTTATAGGACCAAACTTAGTTCATCAAGCTATGGCGGAAGTGAAGGTCATTCAAGAAAGGTTGAAAATAGCACAGTCGTCAGAAATCCTATATAGATGTTAAGAGAAGAGACTTAGAGTTTGAGCTGGATGATTGGGTTAATTTGAAGGTTTCACCCATGAAGGGTGTTATGAGATTTGGTAAGAAGGGGAAGCTTAGTCCCCGGTATATTGGTTCTTACATGATATCCAAGAGGATTGGTAATGTAGCTTATGAGCTGGAACTACCGCAAGAATTAGTAGCAGTCCATACGGTGTTTCACATTTCACTGTTGAAGAAGTGTATTGGCGATCATTTACTCATTATACCAACTGAAAATATTGGTATTAAGGACAACCTATCTTATGAGGAGGTACCCGTCCAGATTCTAGATCATCAGGTTCGCAAATTGAGGACCAATCAGGCAGTATCAGTCAAGGTGTTATGGAGGAACCAGTTTTGTTGAGAAAGATATTTAGGAGGCTGAGGAGGACATGAAAAAGAGATACCCACATCTATTTGAGTTGGAAAAGCTCCAGACCAAGGTAATGATGTCTGAAAAGCACTCTTTTAAATGTATATGATATGTTATGTTGAGTTGATTGTTGGGTTTTTGAGCTGGGTGATAGATGTTACCACCCTTAACCTACTTAGAGTAATCTCATTTGAGGATGAATGTTCCCAAGGGGGAGATATTGTAACACCCGCTTTAGAAAGAGTTAATTTTAGGAAGCACTAAATTGGAAATAGCTAAATCTGAAATTTTTCAAGTTATGCTTAAGTTGTGAGTTTTGGGTCAACTTCAAACGACCTTAACTTTAAGTACACGATGATTAATGTGACCCATAAGATATCAAATGAAAGGTCCTGGATTCCTCTTTCCAATGCAACTGAGTTTTCTAAGAGTTTCGAGTTTGGATGAGAGAGATATGCCCATTTGAAATCTGCCTGTCCAGTTAAGGAAAGTTACCTAAATTAATGAAGTGTATTTTGGTCTTTTCCTTACCCCTTCAGAATAAAATGAAATTAGTTAATATTTTGGGGTATAAAATTATTTGGGTATTTTTTACAAATCCTAAATTACGCTTAGGGTTTTAGGAGAGAGTTCAAGAAGTGAAAAAGAGGAGAAAAGAAAGAACGATTGAGGTTTCTTGCGAAATTGAGGAATTGTTTCGCCAAATCGAGGTATGTAAGTTCTCATAGTGGTGGGTTCGTTCAACCACACACCAATCATGTTTTACATTATTGAATTCATCCATAAAGATTGAGAAATTTAAGTTCCTGATGAGTGTTCTTGAAGTGTTGCTCTCCATTCTTTAATTTTGATGTTTGGGTGAGTTCTTGAGGCGAGGATTATGTTACACTACTAAAAAAATAGTGAATACCGACCTACAAATAACGACCTCCGGAGGTTGGTATTCCTTGAAATACCGACCTAAAACCGACATCCCAACTTAGGTCGGAAAAAGCTTGGTCGCTATTCAATACCGACCTCTGGAGGTCGGTATTTACTGACCTCTTGAGGTCAATTTTTATTTTATGTCGGAAAATTCATATATTATTATTTTCGACTTCCTGAGGTCATAATTGGAATACCGACATCCGGAGGTCGGTATTTTTATTTTTGTACTTTTGAAATTCCGACCTCCGGAGGTCGGTATTTTTATTTTTGTAATGTTGAAATTCCGACCATTGGAGGTCGGTATTTTTATTTTTGTTATGTTGAAATTCCGACCTTTGGAGGTCGATATTTTTATTTTTGTTATGTTGAAATTCCGACCTTTGGAGGTCGATATTTTTATTTTTGTTACTGCATTTTTATTTTTGTATTTTTAAAATTCCGACCTCCAGAGGTCAGTAATTTTATTTTTGTAATGTTGATATTTTGACCTTCGGAGGTCGGTATTTTTATTTCTGTATTTTTAAAATT